GACTTTGGGCCAATCACCAGGAGACGGGGAGTTCTAGTCCCGCCTTAGGCATGAAAGCCAGCTGGGTGACTTTGGGCCAATCATCAGGAGACACTGAGTTCTAGTCCCGCCTTAGGCACGAAAGCCAGCTGGGTGACTTTGGGCCAATCACCAGGAGACAGAGAGTTCTAGTCCCGCCTTAGGCATGAAAGCCAGCTGGGTGACTTTGGGCCAATCACTGAGGTGACAATTTAACAGAATAACAGAGTTGGAAGGGACCTTGATGGTCATCTAGTCCAATCCCCTGCCCAAGCATTTCTCCTTTCTCCTTGTTCTGAGTTCCAATGTTGGCCTGTGACCTGTCTGGATGAGCGAAGGAACCAACCAAGTTATCCAGGGCTGGTATTCAGACGGTTCTGACCGGTTTTGGAGAACCGGTGGCAGAAATTTTGAGTAGTTGGGAGAACCGGCCAATCTTACCTCTGACTGGCCCCGCCAACCCCACCTCTTCTCTGCCTCCCATTGAGTCCCAGCTGATCGGCTGGGTCTCCTTTGGTTGCCCTGCCCAGGAGAACGGAGCTGGAAAGCAGGTCAGTGGGGTGGGGAAAGGAAGGGGGATTTTGCAGTATATCCTTCCCCCTGAAGCGGGGTGGAAAATGGACTATCCAAACTCACCCACAGCTGCGTAATGCGCATCAAACCCGGTGAACCGCTCCTCGTTGGAGAAGTCAGATCGGAACGTGAGACTCAGACGTGATCCCGGAGAGGTGATTGGCTCTCGTCCAGGGGTCTGTTCTGGATCCCGGTCCTCTTTCCCACAGAAGGTCGCCAAGACTTGATCCTCCGACTCGACCTGTTGGACATCCGAAGAGAAAAGGCATAGAAAACAGGTTGATCTTTGCCTGCCGTGAGCCCAACCTCTTTGGTCGCTAAGCGAGACGATTATAAAGTGAGCTTTGCCCCGTTTCACAGCCTTTCTAGCCACTGTTGCTAAGTGAATCATTGCGGTTTGTTAAGGGAACCGTGGCAACAGTTAGCAGCACGGTGTTCTGACCCAAGCTTTGTCAAACCTAATGAAACACAAACTTATTTTTAAAGTAAAACCTATTTCAATGCAACGCTGGGAATTACTTGCATTCCCAGCCGGAACTAATTATAAACAGTTCCTCGAGATAAGGGTATGCCTTTCAGTGCTGTAGATGGCTGCCAAAAAACAGAAGTGTCCAAATTAATGATAACAGAAACCAAATACTATAAAAAAAAAACGATCAGAGTTCCCAGAAACGCAAGGAAGGACTCGGAATCCAACTGAACTACTTCGCTTCCTGCAAAGCTTTCGTCATTGGGATCTGACTTTTATATCCCTGTATATTGAAAATTGTTAGCCTTTTTTTTTTAAAAAAAAATCTCTGTAATGTATTTCCTGCAGCTTTTGAAGAATTGCAAAACTATTGGCTTCAGTCTCTTTTAACACAGTGGCAGCTTAACCCAGAAAACGTCATTTAAAATGTCATTTAAATGTCATATAAATGTCATTTTCATTCATATTATTGATTCAGGGGCCTTGAATTTAAAGATTTCCCTCATTCCTCCGATGGGAATAACAGAATGACAGCGATGGAAGGCACCCTGAGGGTCTTCTAGTCCGACCCCTTGCTCAAACAGGAAAACTTTATTCCAGACAAATCTCTTCTTAAAATCCTCCAGTGATGGAGCAACCACCAGATCTGGTAGCAAGCTGTTCCACTGGTTAATTGTTCTCACTATCAGGAAATTCCTCCTTAGTTCCAGATTGCTTCTCTCCTGGATTAGTTTCCATTCATTTTTTGTTGTTGTTCTGCTTTGTGGTGCTTTGGAGAATAGCTTGACTCCCTCTTTTCTGGGGCAGCCCTTCAAATATTAGAAGACCGCAATCCTGTCACATCTGTCAGAATGTTTATTGATGGCAGAGGAATATCCCAAATCAATGCTTAGATGCAATCCAGAACGATGTTTTTAATTTCGGCATTTCCCTGCTTCAAAGAAAAAACCTCACTCATAACGCATGCGAAAATAAAAAATAAACTAGGCTTGCTATTCAGATTAAACACATATTTATATAGCAACACAGATCGGAACACTTTCGAAATGGCACTTGACGGGCGCTTTTCGTAACAATTTCCAGGTTTTCTCAGTTGCTCTTATAAATGAAGGCTTCACGTTAGTTCCAAACACAGACAGTGCTTGACTTATCACCAAAACGGAGGCCAACATTTCCATTGCTGAACAAGGCAATTGCTAAGCGAATCGGTTTCTGATTTTTACCATGGTTGTTCAGAGAATCATTGCAGCTATTAAGTGAATCACAGGGTCCTTAAGCGAATCCAGCTTTCCCCATTGTTCTGACCCAAACCTGGTTCCAAGGAAACAAACACGAAATAGAGGTAACAGCAAAACCTTTTTAATGATTCTTTACGAATTTCGTTCCTTCCCGGTTAAAAGGCTGTTTCGAACTCATTGTCTCTGATAAGGACGAGCCTGGCCAAGGGGGTGCAAGGCTGCTAAGAACACCAGATAAAGTGGCCAAGAAATATTTCAAACACAAAGAGTCTCCAAACACCAATCAAGATATCTCGAAAGTCCACAAGGCTCGAGTGCAAAAACGTCTTTGCTTCCTGCAAAGAACTCCGGTTTCTCAGCTGGCTTTTATCCCTTAAGGGAGGGGCCATCACCTTGCAGCCTTACTCCCGAGTCGCCTGTGCTGCTGCAGCTGCTCTTTCCTTCGAGCAGCCCTGCGTGCGCACACACTGAGCACAGGCTCCTCGGGGGACTCTTCCTCACTGCTGCCAGCCTCCAAAGGCCGCACTCCACTCCCTGAGGGTCCTGGCCCCATCCCTGCATCCCACGCAGGCCCCTCACCCAAGTCACCCCACTCCACTGCCCTAATATAAATTAACACACACACACGCACCATTTTTCATTTCCACTTTGCCACAAGCGTGTGACGGCACCAGCTGCCAATGAGTGAAGTCACGGCGCCAGTCTAAAGTTTCCATAAAGTTCTCTTCATTTTCCGAATGCTTCCCAATGCTCAGGCAAAGTTCTGCTTGCGTGAAATTAGTGCATTTTGACTATAAAGTACAAGATAATTTTTTAGTTGCACTTATAATTGCTGCAAAGGAAAATGGAATCAACCTTCCTTCTTTCCTCCCTTCCTTCCTTCCTTCCTCCGCCCTCCCTCCTTCCGTTTCTCCCTCTTCCTTCCTTTCCCCTCGCTCCTTCCCTTTATCCCTTTACCTTCTTCCTTCCTTTCCGCTTGCTTTCCTTTTATCCCTTCCTCCTTCTTTCCTTCCCCCTCCCTCTTTCACTTTCTCCTTCTTACTCCTTTCTTTCCCCTCGCTCCTTCCCTTTAACCATCTTCTTCCTTCCTTTCCCCTTTCTCCTTTGCTTTAGCCCTCTCCTTCCTTCCTTCCTTCCTTCCTTCCTTCCTTCCTTCCCCTCCCTCCTTCCCTTTCTCTCTCCTTCCTTTCTTTCCCGTGCTCCTTCCCTTTATCCCTCTTCTTCCTTCCTTCCTTCCTTCCCTCCTTCCTTCCTTCCTTCCCTCCCTCCCTCCTTTGCCTTCATTCCTTCCTTCCCTCCTTTGCCCTCATTCCTTCCTTTATCCTCCTTCCTTCCTTCCTTCCTTCCTTCCTTCCTTCCTTCCTTCCTTCCTTCGTTCCTTCCTTCGTTCCTTCGTTCCTTCCTTCCTTCCCTCCTTTGCCCTCATTCCTTCCCTTTATCCCTCTTTCCTTCCTTCCTTCTTTCCTTCCTTCCTTCCTTCCTTCCTTCCTTCCTTCCTTCCTTCCTTCCTTCCTTCCTTCCCTCTGCCCTCATTCCTTCCCTGTATCCCTCTGCCTCCTTCCTTCCTTCCTTCCTTCCTTCCTTCCTTCCTTCCTTCCCTCTGCCCTCATTCCTTCCCTCTGCCCTCATTCCTTCCCTGTATCCCTCTGCCTCCTTCCTTCCTTCCTTCCCTCCTTTGCCCTCATTCCTTCCTTTATCCCCCTTCTTCCTTCCTTCCTTCCTTCCTTCCTTCCTTCCTTCCTTCCTTCCTTCCTTCCTCCCTCCCTCCCTCCCTCCCTCCCTCCCTCCCTCCTTTTTTATGCTGTCTGTAAAAAAAACTCAATAAAGCTGGATGGAAATGCACACGATTTTTTACTGCCTCTGGCGATATAACGCAGCTCCTCATATCTGCCTTCCCTGCAATTAGCAGGCGCATTCCACAAAACCCAAGAAATTGAAAAGATTCCACGAGGGGGAGAAATTTAAGGACTTAATTTTCCTCCTGAGGAAAAAGAGATCGGGTCAACTCATTTGGAGAAAGAGTTCTCCAAAAAAAACCCAAGGGGTTTCCCTCATTAAGGCTGCATCTACATTCACAGCAGGCTCTGGAAACTCAGAAGAGACGGTCCGAAAATTGCTTTTAAACCAAATTCTCTCCAGCTTCCTCAACCTGATGCTGTCCAGGTAGAATTTCCATATTTTTTTTTCCATGCTGAATGCTGGACTCAAGTCAGCCTGGGGAGAGCAGAATACACAGGCAAATCCTCCTCTTACAATCATTCGTTTAGCGACCGTTGAATGAAAGTTTTTCACACCTACGGCCATTGCAGCATCCCCAATCGTCCCCTGATCAAAATTCAGACATTTGGCAACCGGCTTATACAGTTTTTATGACGGCTGCCATGTCCCCGTGGGGAGGGGTCACGTAAAATCCCCTTTTGCGACCTTTTAGCAAGGAAAACCAGATCCACTTAACAACTATGTTACTGACTTTACATCTGCAGTGACTCGCTTAACGACTGCTGCAAAAAGGATAATAAAATAAGGCAAAAAACCCTCCTATACGACCACTTTTTACAATACTAGACAACTCAGTATCAACAGTAGAGACCTTCCAATTTCTAGCTTCCATCATATCACAAGACCTAAAATGGACACCTTACGTCAAAAACGTCATCAAAAAAGCCCAGCGAAGAATGTTCTTTCTGCGCCAACTCAGGAAGTTCAAACTGCCCATGAAGCTGCTGATACAGACAGTGGGGTTGGACTAGATGACCTACAAGGTCCCTTCCAACTCTGTTAATCTGAATCTCTAAGTTCTACAGAGGAACGATTGAGTCTGTCATCTGCACCTCTATATAACTCTCTGGTTTGGTTCTGCAACCCAACAGGACAGACACAAGACTCCAGAGAGGAATTAGGACTGCAGAAAAAACCATGTCTACCCACCTGCCTTCAACTGATACTATATACTGCACGGTCAAAAAGAGGGCTGTGAAAATACTTGCAGACCCCTCACATCCCGGACAGAAACTATTTCAACTCCTTCCCTCAAAACGAGGCTATAGAGCCCTGCACACCAGAACAACTAGACACAAGGGGAGTTTTTTCCCCAAACGCCATCACTCTGCTAAAAAAGTAATTCCCTCAACACTGTTCAACTATTGACTAAGTCTGCACTACTGTTACTATTAATCTTCTCATCACTCCTTATCTCCCATCCCCTCCCACTTGTGACTGTATCACTGTAACTTTGTCGCTTGTATTCTTACGATTTATATGGACTGTTTCCTAGTGTGAATTGATTGCTTATTGTATCATATGACTATTATTAAGTGTTGTCCTTGATGATTCTCGACTCTTGATGAATGTATCTTTTCTTTTTATGTATACTGAGAACATTTGCACCAAGAAAAATTCCTTGTGTGTCCAATCACACTTGGCCAATAAAGAATTCTATTCTATTCTATTCTATTCTATTCTATTCCTGCATTTCATTTCATTTCATTTCATTTCATTTCATTTCTGTTCTCTACTCTACTCTATTCTATTCTA